TTAGTGGCCAGTTTTGCCTAAAATCTTAACAGGTTCATCCCAGCTCCTCTGTCGTTATCTCACAAGAAAGCTATCAAAATCACTTATCTTAACCATCATGAGGAATTCCCTGAATAATTCCTTTGACCAGAGATCACATTCACCTCTGTGTCTACAAACAGGATGTGCTGTTTTCCCAGAAATTGTGTTTTCATGACTATTAATGGGTTGCTATTTTTATTAATCCCAGAAAAAAGGTAGTTAAAAGAGACATCAGCAGAGGATATTTTAGGTTTTGTTTTGCCTTGTTTTATTTATTTGCTCTGGTGCTAATGATCTGGAAGAAAACACTTTGTTATGTTTCTCCTTCCCAATTATATTGTTTAAGTCATCAATACATACAGCACAGTTCTCATGTAAGGAAAAAGGCCCCCCAGCCAGCAAAACTCAACAAAAGTCAGGAAAATGAGTAACAAAGGCAGAGGAACCTGGCTTTTGAAAACCATTAGCATCAGGGCACTGTTGTGCTTTTTCAAATGACGATTCTACATCTTACAGCCCTGCCCTGTGTCTTTGGACACTGCACCCATGGAAACTTCTCACGCTGTGCTGGGTCAACAAGTTTCTGATCCTGGAGGGTGTTCAATGAACTTTCAGGGAGGAGGGGTCTCTCTCTTCACTGATAAATGTATTTGCTGAATAAGGAAACTTGTGTTTTTAAATGTTAATAGGTGTCTAAAAACATTGCTTTAAAAATATAAGTTATAGAATTCATCGTAGCGAGGTTACTAAGAGATTAACTATAATTAGAGCAAGGTGGGCTTCCCAGGTGATGCAGAGGTAAAGAATCTACCTGCCAACGCAGGAGATGAAAGACATAGTTTTGATTCCTGGCTCGGGAAGATCCCCGGGAGGAGGAAATGGCAAATCACTCCAGTATTCTTGCCTGAGAAATCCATGGACTGAGGGGCCTGGTGAGCTATATAGTCCCTGGGGTTTCAGAGTCAGAATTGACTGAACATGCAGGCAATGCTTAAGAAAACACTCTAAAGAATGTATGTATATGTATCTATATGTATGTACACACACACACGTATAACTGAATCACTTGTTATAGACTTGAATATGGAATCACTTGTTTGCTGTATATACCTGCAACTAACACAAGACTGTAAATCAACTCAGTTCTGTTTAGTTTAGTCGCTCAGTCGTGTCCGACTCTTTGTGACCCCATGGATTACAGCACACCAGGCCTCCCTGACCATCACCAACTTCCGGAGTTTACTTAAACTCATGTTCATTAAGTCGGTGATGCCATCCAACCATCTCATCCTCTGTCGTCCCTTCTCCTCCTGCCTTCAATCTTTCCCAGCATCAGGGTCTTTTCCAATGAGTCAGTTCTTCACATCAGATGGCCAAAGTATTGGAGTTTCAGCTTCAGCATCAGTCCTTCCAATGAACACCCAGGACTGATCTCCTTTAGGATGGACTGGTTGGATCTCCTTGCAGTCCAAGGGACTCTCAAGAGTCTCCTCCAACACCATAGTTCAAAAGCATCAATTCTTTGGTGCTCAGGTTTCTTTATAGTCCAGGTCTCACATCCATACATGGCCACTGGAAAAACCATAGCCTTGATGAGACAGACCTTTATTGGCAAAGTAATGTCTCTGCTTGTTAATATGCTGTATAGGTTGGTCATAACTTTCCTTCCAAGGAGTAAGCATCTTTTAATTTCATGGCTGTAGTCACCATCTGCAGTGATTTTGGAGGTCCCCCCGGCAAAGTCTCTCAATATTTCCACTGTTTCCCCATCTATTTTGCCATGAAGTGATGGGACCAGATGCCATGGTCTTAGTTTTCTGAATGCTGAGCTTTAAGCCAACTTTTTCACTCTCCTCTTTCAGTTTCATCAAGAGGCTCTTTAGTTCTTCTTCACTTTCCACCATAAAGATGGTATCATCTGCACAACTGAGGTTATTGATATTTCTCTCAGCAATCTTGATTCCAGCTTGTGCTTCTTCCAGCCAGCATTTCTCATGATGGACTCTGCATATAAGTTAAATAAGCAGTGTGACAATATACAGCCTTGCCGTACTCCTTTCCCGATCTGAAACCAGTCTGTTGTTCCATGTTCAGTTCTAACTGTTGCTTCCTGACCTGCATACAGGTTTCTCAGGAGGCAGGTCAGGTGGTCTGGTATCCCCATCTCTTTAAGAATTTTCCATACTTTGTTGTGATTCACACAGTCAAAAGCTTTGGTGTAGTCAATAAACCAGAAGTAGATGTTTTTCTGGAACTCTTGTGCTTTTTTGATGATCCAGCGGATGTTGGCAACTTGATCTCTGGTTCCTCTGCCTTTTCTAAATCCAGCTTGAACATCTGGAAGGCTCATGTACTGGTAAAGCCTGGCTTGGAGAATTTTGAGCATTACTTTGCTAGCGTATGAGTTGACTGCAATTGTGCAGTAGTTTGAACATTCTTTAGCATTGCCTTTCTTAGGGATTGGAATGAAAACTGACCTTTTCCAGTTTTGTGGCCAAACTCAGTCCTGCTGAGTTTTCCAAATTTGCTGGCCTATTGAGTGCAGCACTTTCACAGCATCATCTTTCAGGATTTGAAATAGCTCAACTGGAATTCCATCACATCCACTAGCTGTGTTCATAGTATTGCTTTCTAAGGCCCACTTGACTTCTCACTCCAGGATGTCTGGCTCTAAGTGAGTGATCCCACCATCGTGATTATCTGGGTCATGAAGATCTTTTTTATATAGTTCTTCTGTGTATTCTTGCCACCTCTTCTTAATATCTTCTGCTTCTGTTAGGTCCATACCATTTCTATCCTTTATTGAGCCCATCTTTGCATGAAATATTCCCTTGGTATCTCTAATTTTCTTGATGAGTTATCTAGTCTTTTCCATTCTATAGTTGTCCTCTATTTCTTTGCACTGATCACTGAGGAATGCTTTCTTATCTCTCCTTGCTATTCTTTGGAACTCTGCATTCAAATGGATATATCTTTCCTTTTCTCCTTTGCCCTTCACTTCTCTTCTTTTCTCAGCTATTTGTAAGGCCTCCTCAAACAACCATTTTGCCTTTTTACGTTTCTTTTTCTTGGGGATAGTCTCGACCACTGCCTCCTGTATAATGTCATGAACCTCCATCCATAGTTCCTCAGGCACTCTGTCTATCGGATCTAATACCTTGAATCTTCTTGTGACTTCCACTGTATAATCATAAGGGATTTGATTTAGGTCATACCTGAATGGTCTAGTGGTTTTCCCTACTTTTTTCAATTTAAGTCTGAATTTGGCAATAAGGAGTTCATGATCTGAGCCACAGTCAGCTCCTGGTCTTGTTTTTGCTGACTCTGTAGAGCTTCTCCATCTTTGGCTGCAAAGAATATAATCAATCTGATTTCGGTGTTGACCATCTGGTGACCATACATCTGTGTATATGTCCACGTGTAGAGTCTTCTCTTGCGTTGTTAGAAGAGGGTGTTTGCTATGGCAAACATTCTCTTGGCAAAACCCTGTTAGCCTTTGCCCTGGTTCATTCTGTACTCCAAGGCCAAATTTGCCTGTTACTCCAGGTGTTTCTTGACTTCCTACTTTTGCGTTCCAGTCCCCGATGATGAAAAGGACATCTTTTTTGGGTGTTAGTTCTAGAAGGTCTTGTATGTCTTTATAGAATCATCCCACTTCAGCTTCTTCAGCATTGTTATTGAAGAATTACATAATGAAGCATTATATAATGAATTATATATTATATAATGAAGCATAATATACTGAAGAAGTTGATTAACTTCTTCAGTAAATCAACTGTACTTGAACACAGTTTAATTTGTCCTTATAGTCCCTGAACTGTACAGTGATATACATTCTCCAAGGAGCGAGTTAAGCCACATTCTTTCCTCTTGTTCATAGCAGCCATACACCAAATTGCAGCTACTGATGTGCTAAGAGGGAAAACAAATATAACAGGAATATGTGTTTAGCCAAAACTTCTCTTTGTATGATATATTTTGAATGGGGTATACCTATTATTGATTTATTTTACAATCATAGATGTAGAATATTATTCAGAAGGAAGATGGAATATTGTATAGATGACTGCATGGTAAGTCATTTCAGTCATATCCAACTCTGTGCGACCCTATGGACTAATAGCCCACCTGGCTCCTCTGTCCAAGGGATTCTTCCAGCAAGAATACTGGAGTGTTTGCCACGCCTTCCTCCAGGGGATCTTCCTGACCTAGGCTCAAACCCTTGTCTCTCATGTCTCCTGCATTGGCAAGTGAGTTCTTTACCACTAGCACCATCTGGGATCCTGTATATAATATATATGTAATATATAAAATAAATATAATTATAATACTTTATTATATTTTAATATATATATTGCATATTTAATTATATAACCAAATAGTTTAATTATATTAAATTAATACTTTCATACTTTATAATGTAGAATTTTATATAATTTATAATTATAAACGAATACTTTAGTTACACTAAATATTACAATTAACATTTTAATTATATAAATAAATATACTTATCATTATGTAACTATATATAATAAATAAATAATTCCAATACTGAGGTAGGTGGCAAGCGTAATACCACCCTGCCATCTTGTGGCAGCAAGAAATTTGGCAGCAATATTATTTTCTCAAGTGTAATGAGTTTTATTCTCCGGCCAGGGCTCTCCTGGTAGCTCAGGCGGTAAACGATCCGCTTGCCATGTGCGGAGACCCGGCTTCAGTCCCTGGGCTGAGAAGATCTCCGTGGGGAAGGGAGAGGCTACCCACCGCAGTATTCTGGCCTGGAGAGTTCCTCCATGGGGTCACAAGGAGTGGGACGTGACTGGGCGACTTTCTCTTTCCTTGCCCCTGGGCATCCTCCTTTTTGCCTGAGAAATCTCGTGGACAGAGGAGCCTGGCGGGCTGCAGACCATCGGGTCGCGGTCAGACGCACCAGTGAGCGATGAGCGCTTTCCTTTTCAAGCCACGCGTGCCGTGGTGATGCAACGGGCTGGCTGCGGTCGAGTCGCGTCTGTTCACCCAGATGCTCACACTCTCGTCCTGGAAACCTGTGAAAACTTAGGTGATGAAGGACACGGTTATGGATGAAATGAAATGCCGACCCCCTGACGTTTAAATAAGGAAATGACCCCAATCGGACGGTGTGAACACCTAAACGTGGGAGAGGAGGAAGAGGAACGTTGGAGAGAGAGGACAGAGGAAGGAGAGAAGCAGAGAAAGTGGTGGGTGATGCAGGCCCTGAGCCAAGGGTCAGGCGGGCCGCACGTAGAGACCAGAAAAGGCAAGGGAGTGGGTTTTCCACAGAGCCACAGAACGGAGTGTGGCCCTTAAAAAGGAAAAACGCCGTGAAGTCGCTTCGCAATGTTGTGTTCCTTTCTATCACACAAGAAAGCGAGTCGCCTGTGTGTGCACACGTGCCCCTCCCTCTTGAGCATCCCTTCCCTCATCGCCCCCACCGCCCTCGGTCATCACGGGCCCGAGCCCAGCTCCCGGGGCTGCAGGCAGCGCCCCCAGCTGCTCCACACGCGGTGATGTGCGTAGTCAGCCCCCACGCCGCTGCCCGTTCCTCCCACCCTCTCCTTCCCCACCCCTACCCCCAAGTCCACACGTCCTGTCTCTGCATCTGCGTCTTTACTCTCAGAGATAGGTTCATCAGGACCACTTCTCTAAATCCCACATACATGCATTAATGTCGGGTAATTGTCTCGCCCCGACTCACTTCACTCTGTGAGATCGACTTTAGGTCCGTCCGCGTCTGGATAAATGACGCAATTTCGGTCCTTTTCATGGTTAGTATTCCATTGTATGCATGTAGCCCTCTGGACACCTTGGTTTAAGCACCATGAGACCTGTGTTGGACTTCTGACTTAAAGAAGTATCAGCTAATCCACGTTTGCTGTTTTGGGTCGCTATGTTTGTAGTCATTTGCTCTAGAAAATACACTAGTTGTGCTGCCAGTGAATAGACCAGGGAAGCGGGTAGGCCACGGTGATAAGGACTGTATTCTTTATGGTCAAGAGGGAGCTCTTCTGTAGTTCAGGAAGGATTTTCTTTTTTCCCTTGCATAAGCAAAGATCACACCATCTGGTTTTCTTGAGAACTGTTGAATGGAAGCAGAAGTGGACCCAGGAACACCTGGAGAGAGGTTGTTGCAATGGTCACTAACAGATGCCTAGAGTAGAGAGTAGCTTTGAAAAAAGAGAGACATCCCTTCATTTAAGAGGGGTTTAGGTGGGAGAAGCACAAGCTTCGCCACTCGGCTATCAGTTTTGCGACTTAATGCCCACGTGGAGGCTCGGACAGTAAAGAGTACCCTGTAATGCAGGAGACCCGGGTTGTAAGGATCCCTGGCTAGGAAGATCCCCTGGTGGAGGAAATGGCAACCCACTCCAGCATTCTTGCCTGGGAAATCTTATGGACAGAGGAGCCTGGCGGGCTACAGTCCGAGGGGTTGCAAAGAGTCGGACACAACTGAGCAAACACAACAACTTAACAACACATAGTTAATGCTCTTTCTTCTGAAATTGTTAACCAATTATATGTGAGTGACGAGCTATGTCTGCATAGGCCACTCAGCTGGGTTTCTTTTGCAGCTGGGTAGATCATGTTTATCTCAAAGATCCTGAGTCTTACCCACACTCAGATTTCCATTTCCACTGAATGGATGAAGAGAACTTCGGCGGTGTCTAAACCCCACGTTAAGGACCACAGAACAAAGCCTCTCCCCTGACAAAGGTGTCTAGGCCGTGTTCCTTGGGACCTGTGAATATGGGACCTAACACGGCAGCAGCCTCCAGGAGATAGTAAAGGACAGGGAAGCCAGGCGGGCTGCAGTCCTGGGGTCACAAAGAACCGGACGCGACTTAGTGACTCAACAGCAACAAACAATGTGGCAAATGGACTCTGACGATGTGATTCAGTGAAAGATGAGTGACTGAACAGCAACAGTGATATACCAAAGTGAATCTCTTAGTTCTGACAATGTCCACCTAAGAGGAAGCTGGGTGAGGTGCATACATGAACTCTTGTATCACTTTGCTAAGTTTTTGCAAATGTAAAACTGTTCCAAAAAGACAATACTTATTAAAGGTGAAATACATAGCCAAATATTTCAGTAAGTATATCCGAGTGATTTTTCAATGAGTAATCCTGACACTTCTAAAACGAGATTATTGTATCCATGACATGCTGTTCGCTGACTGTAGCTCATTGAAAGTGCTCAAGAAACGTTTGCCAAGCCCCTAACGATTGCTGTTGTCCAGTGGCTAAGTCGTATCCGGTTCTTTTAGACCCCATGGACCGCAGCACGCCAGGATCCCCTGTCCTTCACTATCTCCTGGAGTTTGCTCAAACTCGAATCCCTTGAGTTGGTGATGCCATCCAACCATCTCATCCCTTGCTGTCCCCCAAATTGTTCTTTTTGGTTTCCCACGTGAAGAAATTGTATTCTTCATGTTGGCCACTAGGTGGAACTATTGGCACATTGGTTAAAATTCATTCTTCATCCGTGGGGAAAAACTAGCTCTTGAAAACAAATGACATTTGAAAAATGTTATGATATATAGTAGGAGGAAGAATTCCTAGTACTGTGATGAAGATCAAGAAAGATATGAACTGGCTGTGGACAGAAACCCAGGATTCGGAGATATACAGAAAAAGTAGGAAGAAAAAGGCAGCCATTAATTTAAACATTTCCAGACACGGATATAAGTGCAGTTGGAGAGATAGGACATCTGGAAAATTAGCAGACATCTATCTTTCCCCAGACGTCAGTGCAGCAGGCAGTGTCTGAAACACCAAGGCGTGGAAGGCTCAAACGGCCAGAATGACGCTGTCAATGCTTCCATATGGACGGCAGGCTAAGTGCAGGAGAACTTAGGGGCGACCACTTAAAGGACTAAACTGCATTTATTTCTTCTTTACACTTTCTGTCACTTAGGACATAAAAGCACTTCTTAGTATCAGACAAGACAATATGTAAGAAGGCAAATTAGAAAACCGAGAAAGAATTAGAATGTATTTCTGAGTTTCAAAAAGCAGCTTGCTTTATGGTCTCCATCAATTTCATTTGTTGAAGCATCAGACCTTTGTTACATTTTGGGTACCATGCTAGTCAAGTTCTCCGCTCTCTGTATAAAATCTCTAAATAAGGATTGATCCAGAGAGAAGAGGAATACAGCATTTTTCCAGAAAGATTGTATTTGGCTGACACAAAGTAAAATATAATATAATGATTTAATATAATGTAGACATAATATAGTGATTCAGCTATCATTTGACAGATATTGACTTATTTATTTGTTATAAACATATATTTATAACTATCTATTTGCCTCAGATGCTGGCCAACTGAAATACATAAATAATGATTCACTCTGGTCCATTCTCTGTGGTATATATAAGCTTTGAGATATGTGTTGTATGCAAAATGCTTCTTTACCTGCTTTTCAAGGTTAAAGGTGCTGGTTATTCCTCTCTCAGTTGTAAGGAAAATCCATAGACCAGGAAAGGAGTAAGAGTCCATACTCATTCTTTTCTAAGACTTTTTTTCACAGGGACCATTTTTAAAGCCTTTATTGAATATGTTACAATGTTGCTTCTGTTTTATGTTTCTGTTTTTTGGCCAGGAGGTTTTGGGGATCTTAGCACTGCAAACAGGGATGGAACTCACACTCCCTGCATTAGAAGGTGAAGTCTTAACTGCTGGCCCCCCCCCCCCCCCCCCCCCGCCCCCAAGCAAATCTCAATACTCACTGTTTTTAAATAGAGAAAACAACCAGCAATATCACTTCCCCGATAGCTCAGCGGGTAAAGAATCTGCCGGCAATGCAAGAGCCGCGGGTTAGGGTTTGATTCCTGCCCTGGGTAAGGAAGATCCCTTGCAGGAGGAAATGGCAACATACTCCAGTGTTCTTGCCTGGAGAATCCCACGGACAGGGTCTGGCAGGCTACAGTCCATGAGGTTGCAAAGAATCAGACACAACTGAGCAACTACGCACAACCCATGGATTTCCCTACAATAATTAATCAATAAACACTGTTACAAGAAAATCCCTTGCCAGCTGTTGGTCAGTTGTTGGACGATTGTCTTTGGTCAGACAGCAACACCCTGTAGATGTTGTCTTTTACATATTTTACAGATAAAAGGGAGAAACCATAAACCTTGATTGCCTTTGCTGCTGTTCTGTTTTGCTTCTTTTTTCACAGCAAAAATATTGTAGCTGCTTTCAACTTCAAGGTTGTTGTAACAAGTATATGGGAAAATAGCATTTCATTCTGTCATTTATATTTAGAAATGCACCAGTTTGGATCTGGGCAAAATACTCCAATAAATTAAAATTGCACTTTCGTTTTTTACTAGTTTTTACTAGTTGCTGTGTGTCTGGAATCACAGTCCTTCCACCCCCCCCCCCAAACCATACCTTTTTTTGAAGAAAAAGGAATAAGGTGGAAATGGCATTGGTTTATTTTTTTTTAAGGTGCATTTCTTGATTGACTTATTTTCAGTTTATATATATGCTAATAAAAAAATGAAAACTAATGGATTTCTGGAAGAAGAATAAGAACAACACCCCCCCCCAAAATTAATGCGTTTCTGAAAAACTAACATAGCTCGTGATTTTACTATTAACTCCCTGATCATTACAATGTATGTTTGTCTTCACCTACTGATTTTCAAATGCAACTCATTGTACTTAATCATTGTCTAAGGTTGTTTGAGCATTTGCTCCTAGACCCAACTTTTTCTCCTCGAGATAAGACAATTTTTTAAAAGAGGAACCATCTGAACTGCCATTGAGTTAAACAAGTTCTGTGCACAGTAAATGTTATTGGAGCCATCCACCCCAGAAGTGTCTGTTCGGGAAGGGGGTGTGTTTGGAGGTCTTGCTATGGAGAACAGAGGTTCCTTTGCTGGGATGTAGTTTACAGCTGATGGAGAAGGAGTAAGCAGAGGAGAAATGATGATGAATGTGTGCTCGTTGCCACGGAAACCTCTTTCCAAAGGGTTCACACTGGCAGAAACAAAGGCCAGTTGAAAACGCAGCGACCTCGGCCGGGACCAGGTGAGCCAGCCGCACCCGCGCCTCCCTGGCCAGGCCTGCAGAAGCCTGGACCGTCCCCGCGCTGGCAGCCAGGGTGGTCGTCCGTGTGCAGAACTGAACGCAAACAGGGGTGAGCTGGAGCCAGATGTGGGGGCGTCCCGGGTCACTGACGGCTCCTGGGGTCCTCGGAGTCAGAGCGACTGGCGCACGTTCCTGCTTTTCACCAGGAAACTTGGAGACTGGAGCCCCGAGGAGCCTGATGAAGCCCTTGTCCCCGAGATGGCCTCTGTAAGTCACAAAAGGTGTGAGGTTCGCTCTTCTCCAAGACTCATTAGAAAAGGCAGTTATCTTTGATACGTCATCATCTGTTTGTTGTCCAGTTGCTCACTCATGTCCCATTTTTTGTGACTCCGTGGACTGCAGCCTGCCAGGCTCCTCTGTGCATGGGATTTCCCAGGCAAGAATCCTGGAGTGGGTTGCCATTCCCTCCTCCAGGGGATCTTCCCGACCTAGGGATCGAACCTGTGTCTCCTGCATATCAGCATCTGTTATTTAATCTCAAATTAGTATAGTGAAGCCGATAAGTCAACGGCTGGCTCCACCTTGTGGCCTGAGATCCAATCATACACCTCCCATGAGATCCCTTCTAAGCCCTCATCTGTGCACGAGTTTCTAGAGATTGTGGCATCAACTCTTTTTACTTAGTGGAGAGAATTTTTGTTATCACTTCTATAGAGAAATAGAAATCAAATTCTTATTTTCCAAAGCATCTAATTTGATCTTGTCCTCTTCTCCACCCAGCTTTAAAATCAATAACTTTATTTTATTATTTTTTTAAATTTTTATATTTTGCTCAAACCACTTGGCATGTGGGATCCTAGTTTGATCCTGACCAGGGATCAAACCTGTGACCTGGTGATTGGAAGCGTGGGGTCTTACTCATTGGATCACCAGGGAGGTCCCCCTTTACTTTTCTTCTTTTTTTTTTTATTTGACTGAATAACTTCACCTCTGTGTCCTCATTTCTAAAAGTACATCCTGGGCTGTGTGAAATTCAAAAGTATAATTATCACTGACTATAAAAACAAACTGACATCTACACATAGTTCACTTTCCAAGTGGGCCCTGATCTTACATTTGAGCCCTGAACACTTTATTGATGTTCTCTATGTCCTGGTCAAAATGAAACCAAATTTTGTTTTCCCTCACCGAGAGTCTGTTGACTGAAGGCACTAAATCACCCTGTTTGTGACCTCCGCTCGAAGTTCAAACCCTTTTCACAGCCATTAACTTTTGCCGCGTCCCACCAAGCACATGTGCCGGCTGCGGCTTAATCTCTTCCATCCTGGATGGCTGAGCCACCTTCCTTCCAGCTGACGGGGGCTTCGCTTCTGCCTGAACACCTCATCCATGGAACCCAATTGCCTCATTTTGTTTACCTATGAGATAATTCAGCATAATTTTTCCCCCACAGGAAAGTCTTATAGTTTGCTTGGAGATTAAAATAAGAGAGAGCAAGATTGCTGGCGGTTCAGTGGCAAAGAGCCCGCCTGCGGTGCAAGAGCTGCAGGAGACCTGGGTTCGATTCCTGGGTCAGGAAGATTCCCCTGGAGAAGGAAATGGCAGCTGACTCCAGTATTCATGCGTGGAAAATCCCACGGACAGCAGACCCTAGTGGGCTACAGTCCACGGGGTCGCAAAGAATTGGATATGACTGAACGATTTAGCATGCATGCGAGATTGGAATGATGTATTTATAGGAATATCCTTTCAAGTAAGTCTTAGTGTACATATTCCTCCAGCCCATATTTCTGACTTGTGTCATTGCTCAGTCACTCATTCATGTCCAACTCTTTGCCACTCCATGGACTGCAGCACCAGGCTCCTCTGTCCTCCACTATCTCCCAGAGTTTGCTCAAATTCATGTCTATTGAGTGGGTGATGCCATCCAACCATCTCATCCTCTGCCGCCCCCTTCTGCCATTACCTTCGATCTTCCCCAGCATCAGGGTCTTGTCCCATGAGTCAGCCGTCACATGAGTCACATTCACATGTGAGAGTCACGAACAGTCAGTGGTGTCAAAATGCCTTTTAATTAGCACAGACCTTCGCTGTTCTGAATCAGTGCACAGAGTCAAGGGCGATGCTTGAAGACATAAGCTGGCGAGGAGTGAAGAGTAACTAAGACATTGGAGACTAAGCTAAATTTTTTGCCTATTAAAGGTCAGGGCAAATTGCGTCTTGTAATTCTGATTTGCAATCCTTATTCCACCTATTTTTAAAAATAATATCAAAACAAATGTGAATTGCCTACTGCTCGATCCTAAGTGCTAAGATATTCATTCCCCTTGTCTCAGCTGGTTCTCACAAACATGATGAGGGGAAGAATTATTATCCCATTCACTGGATGAGCAAATGGGGGCACGATGTTTTAGGAAAATAAATTACCCTCCTGTTCTATGCTGTCGGGTCCTTACATCGTCTTTCTCAGTCTTTCTGCTGATATAGAAACTACTAGGAAACTCAGAAGGAATAGAATATCTATTTTGCGTTTCTTTGGGGAAAATAAAACCTTACTTTAACCATGACTCTTTTAGGTTGAGAATGATTTCTTTCAGTCTCTTAATTAGATTAAGGGTTGCTACATTTGACCTTGGGCTTCACAGCTATTGCTAGAGGTAAAGAATCTGCCTGCAATAGAGGAGATACGGGCTTGATCCCTGGATCAGGAAGATCCCTTGGAGAAGGAAATGGCAACCCACTCCAGTATTCTTGCCTGGAGAATCCCGTGGACAGAGAAGCCTGGCGGGATACAGTCCAGAGGGTAGCAAAGAGTAGGACACGACTGAGCGCGCATGCACATTTGACCTTTGCATTTAAAAATGGACAGCCTGTAACTTCTCTGCCTCCTTCCTTCAAAAGTGCAGTATGTGGGGACTTCCCTGGCGGTCCAGTGGTGAAGGCTTCCCCTTCCAAAGCGGCAGGTGTGGGTTCCACCCCTGGTCAGGGAGCTCAGATCCCACATGCCTCAAGGCCAAAAAGCAAAACATAAAACAGAAGCAATGTTGTAACACATTCCATAAAGATTTTTTTTAAATGGTCCATATTAAAAAAAAATACCTGTAATATGTATAGAAACATGAGAAAAATGTGCAAAGAGGCAGATGACTTTTGGAATCTCCTTGACCCTATTTGTTCCTGGAGCAAAAACGCAATTGTTATCGATTCTCAGCTGATGCTTAAAAAATTCAATTCCTCCAAATTAATTCTCTTTCTAATTGGAGGTTCCAGCTGCCATTGGATTGAATTTTCCTGTTGTTTACTTGTCCCAAAGTCTCTGTAAAAGGTTTTATTTCTCTAGGCAACCAGCTGGTTTTTCACATAGATAAGGTCAATTAATTTGACCTTTGTTTCAATATGAAATGCATAATAAAAGCTGGTGCCCCACAGACCGGATGTGGCCTTTCAAAAAAAAAAAGCTCCTTGCCAGGACAGGGAACAATAATTTATGACCTCATAAACCCCAGTTGCAGCGCTTGTTGCTGAGCACGGCAATGACAAGGGGCCTGTGTGTCTTTATTTATTTACTTTTATTCTGTGTGATAGAAAGCTGAAAAACAGAACCGAGCACCTGCGCCTTGAAGGCGTGGAAATGGCAGGGGCAAAAACCAGGACTGTTGTTTTTTTAAGGATCAAGGACGCTGTTTGAATTTTTGTTTTTCTGCTGTTTGTTTTCTCCTGACAAAAATTCCTACATACAGGCTCAGAGTTTATTATTGCCTTCTGACTGTAAGACTAGTCATCAAAATGTACTGTGGTTCTGAGAGATGCGCAAACTCGTTATGAGGCAAAGTCGAAAACAGAACATTTGAACTGGTATCTACAGTCAATACCGAAATGATTAGTGCTTGTGGTTTGATGAATGGATCTCTCTCAGAAGCTGATTCTAACAAATTTAGGAGGATGTGAGCTTTCTGACTTTTGTCTTCCTTTAACTGTGTCAACCACTATTCTGTATGCCATTAGCGACGTTCATATGGGATATGTTAAGAGTGTTTATTACTTCACATGAATCTATTATACTTGGCATTTGTGTCTAATTTTGTTCCGCATTTTATACAACCCTGGATGAATCCATTTTGGCTAAATCTTTGATTACATCTCTGATTAAGTCCTAGAATTGGGCTAAGTCAAGACATAAATAAAGAGCTTCCCAGGTGGCTCAGTGGTAAAGAATCTGCCTGCCAAGCAGGCGGCATGGGTTCAAGCCTTGGGTCAAGAAGATCCCCTGGAGAAAGAAATGGCAACCTACTCCATTATTCTTGCCAGATGGACTATACAGTCCATGGGGTCACAAGAGTTGTACATGACTTTGTGACTGACAACCGCAAAAGAGAAAATTCTGATTTTAAAAAAAGTTGGTTTTTTAAAAATTTTAATTAAGAAAAAGAGAATTTTAAATCTTTCAATTAATGCTTTTCTCATTAAGTCCTCATCTCCAGTCCCCATGTAGTTAGTGGTCCATTATTTTAACTGTTCTTTTGAATAAGCCTGTTTGTGTACCCTGACTTTTGGGTAAAGGATACTGTAAACAAACATTCCCTCCTCAAGAGATGTGTGTGCATGCTCAGTCGCTCAGTTGTGTTTGACTCTTTGTGACCCAATTTCATTCCTTTTTCTGCCCGAGTAGCAGCCCATTGTGTATACACACCTATGAGAACCACCTCTGCAGTTCAGGGAACTCTGCCTAGAGCTCTGTGGTGACATAAACGGGAGAGAAATTTGAAAAACAGGGGGTATGTGGATTCATACAGCTGATTCACTGCTGTACAATAAAAACTAATGTAGCACTGTCAAGCAACCATTCTCTTTAATCTTTTTTTACCCACATACTATTTTATTATTATTATTTTTGGTTTATTTTGTGTGTGTGTGTGTGTGATGCTAAATTTTCTTATTTTTCAAAATTTCAAAAGACAGAAATTGTTTTATCTTTAAAAGTCATTAACAAATGCTATTTTGCAATATCTAGGATGGTTCAGTATTTCATCCTTGTTCCGTCACTAAGTTGTATCCAACTCATTGCGACCCCCATGGGCTGCAGCATGCCAGGCTTCCATGTCCTTCACTGTCTCCTGAAGCTTGCTCAAACTCATGTCCATTGAGTCAGTGATGCCATCCAACAACCTCTTCCTTGTTGCCCCTTCTCTTCCTATGCTCAGTCTTTCCCAACGTCAGGGTCTTTTCCAATGAGCTGGCTCTTTCCATCAAGTAGCCCTAGGGTTGGA